TGGGAATCTTTGGAACCAAACATCTTCTCGTAAGAGATCTATTTTATTGTTTTTCATTGCGGTTCGGCTTCTTGTAGGCTGACGTGAAGAAGAATTGAAGGGCACGTACTGATGATGACGACGAGGGGCAAAGACGCAGGAGGACTCAAGTATGAGAGAACGGCTTGAGAGATTGATGTGTATGTAGTAAGCATGTAATAGAAACGATATTCTTCATGGCAGATTGAAGCTTTGGTGTTGTGCTGATGATTTTGACTGTGTTGTGATGATTTATAGGTTATCTATCTACAGTAGGTAGCTGTCGCGATGACTATTGTGCCAACACCATATGGAGAGAACATTATCTTTGGAGAGCAATGTAATAGATAATTCCACATGTAAGTCTAATCAAGCCATTTGCAAATTCCCTATCGATGATGTAAATGTGCCTGTTATATTCAACGTACCCAGCAAATCAGGAAGGTCGAAGAACAAGCACAAGAACAATAACTTTGTGCACTCAACCCACTACCCCCCATTTCGATATATCACAACCACATCGATATATTCATCATGACGAAGACCGCACTCATCACAGGCGCAACTGGTTTACTTGGCAGACAAGTTCTAAAAGTATTTGATCGAGAAAATTGGAATACAGTGGGCACCGGATTCTCGCGTGCAAAGCCTCCTACCATTCTCAAGGTAGATTTGGCTTCCGAGTCTGAAGTTTCAAAGGCGTTGAATGAATCCAAGTAATGTAACATCTTCACGATTTTCAATGCAGTACTGACGGTAAGAGTATTTGAAGACCTCAAGTCGTAATTCATTGTGAGTTTCTGTCAGCGCTGCTACCTCGTCGTTGTCGCCATTACTAACCCCGCGATTACAGGTGCAGCGAATAGATTCCCAGACAAATGCGACAGCGATCCTGAAGGAACACGCGCTCTCAATATCGCAGCTTCTGCTTCATTGGCCAAACTCTGCGCCGAACAATCCATCCTCCTTATCTACATCTCGACCGATTATGTTTTCCCTGGCACCGAAGGTGATGCTCCTTACGAGACAAGCCACACCGTAAAACCCCCGAATCTATATGGAGAAACAAAATATGAGGGCGAGAAAGCCGTATTGGCAGAATATGAGAAAGTAGGCAAATCGGGTCTGGGAGTGGTCTTGAGAGTTCCTGTACTCTACGGAGAAGGTGAACCTGAAGAAAGTGCAGTTGGTGTACTTGTCAACTCGGTCTGGAAAGCCCAAGAAAAAGATGCCAATGTCAAAATGGATCATTGGGCCCTGCGCTATCCTACCAATACAGAAGATGTAGGTCGAGTTTTGTCAGAGATTGCGACCAAATATCTTGAAAGCAAAGACCCATCATCTTTACCACGAGTCTTGCAATTTTCTTCAGAGGACAAATTTACAAAATATGAGATCTGCCAACTCTTTGCGGAGATCTTAGGCCTGCCTTTGGATGGCATGGTGGCAAATACAGAGGGAAATGATCCAAATGCTAGTGTGCAGAGACCTTATGATTGTCATTTATCTACAAAGGCATTGAAAGACCTGGGAATCAATGTTGCTACGATGGATTTTACTGGATATTGGAGGAGAGAGATGAATGCTTTTAGGAAGTAGGGAAGCATCAGGCTGGGATGCAAAGGTAGTAACTGAACACTCTCCCATGTACGACAATAGTAGTATTCTCTCACCCAGAATTACATTATAAGTCAAACTCGTATCACAATGGAATATCTAGGACCAACGTCTCGTGTTTCAAGACTGGAAGTTCAAGTAGTTCAATGTACTTCAATGGCTATCATTGGCGAAACGATCTGAGATCTTTCGAGTCTTTCCTATTTTCCCCCCTCTTTTTAGACAGTGCTATGTAATGTCTTCCCAATTGAGAGCCCGATTCTAGTAGCTATGAAAAAGTCAGGCTGATTCAAAGGTTTGAGTGCTGTCGTATACTCTAAGAAATTATCTATACCAAGGAAGAAAACCAATGGCATCGTGAGCTAGTGTTCATAGTAGTACTTGCAGTTAGAAATTCGGGAATATGTTCGTCTTTCTTGTTAGTTTGCAGTAACAGCCGTAGTTCTGATGTACTCATGGAAAGTCGTTATGGGGCATCTCATTATTAGGCATTTGAGATAGCTTCTTGCTCGGGCACTGAAATGCAGAGATATATTCTTAATTTTTTGGATTCTTATGATGTTCTCATTCAAAACGGATCATGGGGTTGACACAAGTGAGGGAGCTTCCGGGACGAGGGATGGGAAAAGCTTTGAGATAGAGTAGGGCATATGTGACTGGAGTCAACGGCCGATCAACTTGACCCATCACAAACACCTCGACTTGCACGCATGTTGATGTTGATATTAAATTCCTTCCTCTTGACCTCTGGTGTGCACGTAGTAGATGCAGCGCATAGTAACTACATTTGGAACATGTCATTTGGATCGGTCGACATCGGGTTCCAAATCTTTTCTTACCTGGAACGAGAACATCCGATAGAGATATCCACCTTCCTCCGCATGCTTTGCAACATACGGAATTGGTTCGTCTTCTTGCGGTAGCTATTTTCCTCTGAGATTGCTAGATGAAATTAGTGTTGATCTTCCTTGTTCTTAGATGTCATGTTGTTAAGCATCGAAGGAAATGATAGCATACGAGAGAAGCTTTGTTTTTTGATGGTATATTCTACGTTGTGCCCTTGCAAAAAGGGCCCGAGACCCCATGACTTCTATCTTGGAATTAAAGCTTGAGAATTTATATATTTCAAAGTCTCATAAATTCCTACCTTGTACTCCTTGGGAGCTTGCTTCCATTTTGCACTGTTCTTTGTATTACTCCATTTCAATCAATCTCAATCTGGCTTAATTCCCAATGGCTACTACGCGTATCGCAGAGCTCGCTACTCAAGTCGCTGAAAATACGAAGAGAGTCGACGAGTATCTTCGCCAACATGGCTTACCCTCACCGTTCTTTGATGCTGAAGGACCAGTCGACTTTTGCATCCGATCAGAAGAAATCCATGGGAATTTATCAACGGCACCGTCGATGACGTTGGTGGTTCGAAAGGCCATATTAGTATCTTGCAAAGAGTTTCCCTAGGCTGCATTTCATCGTACAAGATCTCCCTAAGGTTATCGAAGGTGCAGAATCGAAGCTTGATGCTAGTATCGCGGATCGTGTGACATTTCAAGGACGTGACCTTTTCACTCCGCAAACCGTGGTGGTCGATGCATATCTATTTCGCTGGATCTTCCACAACTGGCCTGATAAGTATGTTGTCGCTATTCTGCGCACCCTTTTTCTGGTGATCAAAACTGCGCTCGGGTCATTGTGAATGAGCTTTTGAATCCGCCTTCGAATTCTCTTTCACTTTCCAGTGAACGGTCAATTCGGTACGACTCCTGTTATTACCCATGTGGCTAAATAATCCAAATTTTCAAGCCGCGAAAATTTACTAGTTCTCTCGATATGATTATGCTGAGTATGCATAATTCTAGAGGGCATCCCTTGCTATCATCGAGGCCGTCTGGCAAGAATAACCATTGGCATTCACACTTTGTACTCAATTTTCGATGAGCTTATTAAGTAGAATTTTGTGGAAATGCGTCGTTCTTCGACTGATAATGACTTGCAAACTGCTTGGAAGTGACAATGTAGAAGTAGATGATATTAAATCTTAATTATGTTCAACTTTCAAATTTCTCAGTATTTATTTCATTTTCAGATATTAATTCAATTCAGCCAGAGTGTCCTTTTATCTGTGAGGTAAAGTTGAGGATGTACAGAGACATCCAAATGATTATTCAACGGAGTAGCCATCGATTCATTTTCAACATCTATATCTGCGGCGTCTTCAATCCTCTACATAATTTGTATACCATGAGCCATGTCCTCGGAAACGACGAAAATACTACAATGAAATAGTCTCACATGAGCGATGTCTTGATCTTGCCAGACACACCGTACCCCCGACACTTTGCGAGTCGATTGACGTTGAAGTTGAGATACGATTTCGAGACGCCACAGAATATAAGATTACATTTCATTCAATACATTTCTCGATTCAACAAGTATCTGCTCGGTCAAGCATCAAAGTCACAACTGAGCAGGCGCCTTGCGCAGATTGATGGACTGTCGAGCTTATTAACCGTCTCAAGAGTTGGTCTCCACGCACGCCTAATGCAAACCATGCACCTTCAAGTAGAAAAATTGATACTCTATGATTGTCGTTGCTCGAGGATATATTGTCACTTAGGGATTGTAAAGCCCTCTGCAAAGATATCATAGCAGGAAATTTCGAGAGCCACGTCACGAGACGAGATATATAGTATCACTTCCAAACCATATCCTCTCAGGGACTTCACCTCAGACATAAACAGCTAGTTTGGAAATATATACATGGGAATATCAAGAGTATCAGGTATGTTCTCTTTGTAATTGTTGGGACAGAGATCATATGATGTAAAAGTCACGCGGTATCAGTTGCGCTAGCACCTGGGTATGATCTGCTACTAGATCTACTACTAGTTTCGTAGTCTTAATTCTGGGTCCTTAAGCAATATTACATAGTGTGAAACTATGGTACTATTGAATCTTCACCATTTCCATGGTGATACCAACAGTAATAAAAATCATGTGTCAGGTAAAAAACTATTTTTATTAAAATATCGGAATGATCGTGGTCGGCCTCGGTGGTGTTACAGCATCGTCAGCCTCGTCCTCTTCACCACGCGATTTCGAACTCCGCACCAAGTGTGATATCATTTCTCACTCTACAGCCTTCCACTTTGACAACTCTCACAGGCACAAGTTATCAAAGTCATCAGTCGTTGTTCAGTATTACCTTTCAGCGTCAGATCTCTTAAACACAGGTAGACGCTTTGATTTCTGGACTGTCTATAGTCACCCGTATCGTTAGTGGTACAAACTTTGACTTCGCACCGCGTTATCCATCTCACTGCTCAGATGGCACACGCCTCACAAGAAGAAATCCAAGATCATCAATGGACGACGCAAAGCAGCAATCAGGTTGGTACGCCGATCTTTCAGAGTATGAAAGCATGTTGACACTGTCACAGGAACTTGATAGCCAAGAATTTCTCAAGGCTCCAGCAATTCCGGGTGATCTCGACGCCTGTAACCAGCAGAATTCAGTCGCCTCTTTCTCGGAATGGACGAGCCAGTGCGAAACTTGCAAAAACATTTGGCGTTGTTTTTCTCAGCCAGATTTGGCAAATCGGGTCAATCCGGGCCCGGTCAATCTGGGCCATGTTACGGACGCTCTCGCTACACAGTACCGCACACATAAACCCTTAGTACAAGCTTTTGTTGACCATGTGCGCTCATGCGAAGATCCCCGGAGTTTATTTAGGCAAGAAAGAGGTGACCTTGGCATCCGCTCTGGATATTTAAAGAGCAGCGTCGAGATTACAGAGTCGATCTCAATCGGGGGTTTTTTATGGTATCTGTTGCTAGTGAGGAAGGAGTCTGTACCGCATCATCCTGGTATGCGTCGTATTCTAAACACTGATTGGGTTGATGTAGAAATGCTGAATCGGTGGAAAAGGCAGTGTCTTTCAACACATGGTGCGAAATGCGAGAGTTTGTGGAAGATTTGGCCGAAAAGGCCCGCTTTTTTGATCGATGTGAAGACCAAGTGCCTTGTCGCGGGTTGTATCTCTGGCGCTTTTGTGGCACTAAGTTATAGGTACGGGAGATCCTCTGTTCCTACAATTGACGCCGTGATGCTCGAAAGGCAGCAGGAGCCATATGCTCTGGATGCCCTGGAGTTTGAAGAATTTTTGTCGCCAGTAATCTGACATGCCATGTTCCTGACCTCGGTCATAAGCGAGCGGTATCTCTGGGCAGATGCGCTCTGTATCCCTCACGCAAACGAGGAACTCAGAGCTGAGGAACTGAACATGATGGGCGCTATCTACGGTAACGCAGTCGTCACAATTGTTGCTGCAGATGGCGACGCACAAGATGGGCTTCGTGGTCTGGAAGGTGTTTCTCAATCCAGAGACATGAACCAACGCATTATTCTCTTCGGTGGTGAGCAACTTATTGTTAGAAATACAAGTATTTTCGAGTTATCGAGTTGGGGCGATTATTTTAGCCGAGGTTGGACGTTTCAGGAGCACAGTCTGTCGAAAAGAAAGATAATATTCAAGAACAAAGAGCTGCACTGGCTGTGTCAGTGTAGCGTTTGGCACGAAGAGATGATTCCCGACGTAGGCTTTGACAAATGCATCGACCTACAGCAGAATGTCATCACGGCTGGTTTTCCTGACTTGTATTCTCTGAGCCAAATCCTCTCAGATTTTAATCAAACAGAACTTCGGTACGACTAGGACGCTTTACCCGCTATCTCTGGGTTGCTGTCAGTCCTGAGTCGTACATTCACTGGCGGATTCTTGTACGGCATCCCGGAAATGTTCTTCGAACGAGGATTAGGCTGGAGTCCCCTCTGGAACCACTCGAACATCCGACGACCTAAGTTTTCAGAACGATTTGGAAAGGACCGTCCGTCTCGGGCAGGCTTACCATCGTGGTCTTGGGTCGGCTGGCACGGTCTCATTGACATCTTCATATGCGGCGAGGCGGCTCGAATCAACGGCGACCCACGTCGGATTGAAGAAACAATTCCGATCACAGAGTGGTACACGAGCAAGTCTTCCAACGACTTGCCGGAAAATAGAAGGAGAATCAGGTCCACGTGTTTTGAAAATCGCGATAATAACAAGGATTTTGCGAAGCCATTGCCTACTGGCTGGTCGTGCCACGACGCCCCCGACACAGGATCGTCCTGGGGAGAGCCTCACTTGCACCCAGATGGGTGTGGGAAATACATTTTCAAACATGGGGACATGCCCGATACTTACGTGGGATCGTGGTACTATCCATTCCCGGTCCCCGATATCCATAACTCAACGCCGCCAGTCACGCCTGAGCAGACATCCTATTTGTTTTGCAAGACTTGGAGGGCGCGCCTCTGGGAACGACAGGCTAGCGAAGGAAATATTGCCAGAATTTTTAATAGCTCTGGGGAGGATATTGGCTCTCTGAAATTACACAACGAAGCTGACCTGTCTCTCTTCCCAAGCATGGATTCCGAGGAAATTCACGGGTTGCCGGTGGACCTTGTAGCTTTGTACAAGTCACGAGTATATTTGAAGAGGCGGTATGCAGATCAAAAGAAGCATGAACACCCATTTCAGAAAAAAGATAAATACAAAGTATTATGGGTGGAATGGAAGGATGGTATTGCGTATCGTCTTGCTAGCGGGCAGGTGAAGGCAGAAGAATGGGAAAAGTTAGAACCGGAGAAGATCGAGCTAATTCTAGGTTAGGGAGTAAAAAATTGTGGTCGACTCGAACTTGGGAAGAGATTAATAGAGAAGTGTACTATTCATCGCTTGTTCTTTCAGTCGAGTAAGGATGTTCTTTCGGTTTTGTTTATTCTTCTATTGATCTAGACTATCTATACTCGCTTTGATAGCAGAGATTACTATTTTTCTAAATGTCTTATTATTATTAACTATATACTTTTCCTATTCAAAATTTCTTTCTAGAGAATCATAGCAAAATCTAAATATAAAATCAATAAATGTTTTTAAGAAAAAACTTATTTTCAATATATAACCTTCGACTTTTGAATAATTTCTAAACAAAGTATATAATCAAATGTATTGTCACGGGGTGACACTAAGCCCTTTCTGTCCTGTCCTGTCCTGCTATATATGTGAGAGTAAAGTAGAACTTCCAGTTCTATCTCCTAGTCTTTTGAGCATTTAGCTCAGCGGTAAAACTTCTGAATATTCCCAGAAGTGATCCCATGATATTAGGTAGAACTACCCTTGGTTATAAATGGAGCTGTATGGGGGGCCTACTTATAGCTTACAAGCCTTCATTGGTTTGGGGGCTAGCATATATAGATCCTGTCTGCCTGTCTGAATGCCTGAGGTATTAGAATCCAGAATCCTGAATCCTGAAACCTCCTAGTAGGTGATGGTATAGAGATTATACCTTAAGGAGGGGGGTAGTGTCACGGGGTGACACTAAGCCCTTTCTGTCCTGTCCTGTCCTGCTATATATGTGAGAGTAAGGTAGAACTTCCAGTTCTACCTCCTAGTCTTTTGGGCGTTTAGCTCAGCGGTAAAGCTTCTGAATACTCCCAGAAGTGATCCCGTGACATGTATAAAGATTCAAGACATAATTGTTAGAAACGTTTAATTACTAATAAGATTATAAATGAATTTCTGATTTCTTTATAATAAAAATACTCGAGAAATACTCGCTTTACTCGACTCGAAACGAGACAACTGATTTATAGAGAGCCGACTATTAATCTTAACTATAAGTATCTTATAATAATAAAATCTATTCTAATTCCTCTACTTTATAAAACCCGCCAATCTATAATATAAATTAAAAACCTTAGTAATTCTCGTAATAGTTAGTAATCGATATATCTTAAAGAGTCTTGAGAGGATATTCAATATATTTATTATCCTTTCTATTAATAAATAATATAAAAAATATATATATTAAGTATAATATTATATCTATTATCTACTATCTTAATAGTAGATGAATAGGTTTTGAATATGATATTAGATAAGTAGTAATAGATATATATTAAATAGATAGTAGTGTCACGGCGCCAACTATATGATCTGTAGTTGCCTTCGTGCCTCAGGCACAGTATACTAGCGTGCCCTACTTCCTATAAGTAGGGCTTTACTTTTTCATAGCTCTTTTACTCTTATAATACAATATAAGTCTTATCACGGTGTAAGGGATAGGTACTAGATTGGATATATGATATTTTACAAAGAGGTTGAAAGTGGTACGATGTAACTTTGCTATATAATGGCAAAGATGACTAAGCATCTATTATGCTAATATATTATGTTAGTGAACTTGTGATAGTATTTTCCTTTTTAAGACTTGTTTGTTCTAAGCAAGCTGAGAGAAAGTATATTATGCAAATTGTACTTTCTTTTGTTGTGATGAATGCTTTTGTTTTCTAAGTTCTTTTGTAGTTTTTTGTTTAGGGATCAAAATTGTCTTAGCCTTTGGGTTTTCTAGTATTCATTTTGGTGGACCTGGTTTCTCTGGGTGTAAGTGATGGTAGTGAGTTATAATCTTTTCATTACCCTTAAGATCTGAGGCTGGTTGCTAAGTTGGGGTGTAATGTTTCTATTTGACTAAGTAGTGATATCCATCCTCATTATGATTATCTAAAATGCCTTCGAATACCTACTTCTGAACTGGCTCCTCTTCACTGTTTTCCCTTTCAAGGACTCTATTCTATATAGTAATAGCTTCTGCTTTGTTGATCTGGGATTATATCGGGAACCGTTTGTTGTCATATGCTAATAGAAGTAAAGAGTGATGAAAGATAGGGAAGATTTGTATATTTTTTGGTAATTGAATAAGACAAGATTGTAGATAAACTTTAATGACTTTATAAGATCTAATCTATTTATTATTTAATTTCTTTGTTTTTCGAGAGATCTTTATATTCTTTATATTAATGAATATCTTCTATTCTATACAATATCGGGGTGAGTTGGTTCGATATCGATTTGCATGCTCCTTGTATGTATCTATGGCTTGCCTAACGAGTGCTTAAAGTTGATTTAGAATCCTTTTCATTCTATCTGCCATTTTATTACTCTTAAAGAATTCACATTTTTGAGTTAATATCATTTTTGGTAGGCAGGGTTTGCTTGGCTTTATATCAATACTTGGGTTAAAATTGTAATTAGTAAAAAATGGAGAACATTCTGTAATTTCCGAAACCATATTGTTAGAGGCAAACTCTACCAATAATAGTTATTTCATTCAATCATTTTGATAGAAGTTGATGAAAGTGTGTAGCTATTGCTCGAGAACTGAGTTGATATACTCTGTCTGCCCATCCATCTGTGGGTGAAAGGCTGAAGAGTGTTTTAAAGTTACTACTAGTCTTTTCAACAACTACGCCCAGAATCCTGATATGAATTATATACCTTGATCCAAGATAATATTGTCTGGTATGTTATGTAGGATATATATCCAATTAATAAATACACTAACCAGTTTTTCTGTAGTTAAGATTCTTATACCAATGAAGTGATACATCTTTGTCAATCTATATACCACTATCAGGATATACTTATATATCGAGTTGTAGTGTTTATTCTCTGGAAGAGGTGTAATATAGTCAATTGATATATCAGACTATACTCGAAATGGAATTGGGAGAGGCCTTAAGAATCCTGGTGGAGCTGACTTTGATGACTTAGTACGAGTATATAATGTACATGCTTGTATATATACATCAATCTCCTGGTGCATATTTAGCTACCAATAGATTCGGGAGATGATGTCGATAGTCTTGGTACATCCAGGATGACCAATCGAATCGGAAGAATGCATCCTGTAGATAATTTGTATTTTCAGCTTATTATCAAGCGGTATCCAAAGCTTATCACGATAATATATTCTATTATTGGATACTCCACAGTCCTGCATAGTGATTCTTATAGTCTTTTGGAATTCTGCTGGTTATTTTTGTACATACGGATCTCTAATTACTGCTAACAATTGTTGTGCTATATCGGATTTTGTGTAGGCATTATTAATCAATTCGTTAATAGGCTTATCTCCTATAGGTATTATCAAATCCATAGATGCCAGTATTACTTCCCCTATCAATTCTTTGTACAGATCAATATCGAACCTTTGTATTAGTAAGACTATTCTTTCTCTATTCTTCAACCGTTTGTCGTTAGAATTCGAAAGATTTGGTCTGTCTTCCCGCTTGCAGCTCAAGGCATCTGGATGAATGGCTTTAATATCTGGTCTGTATACGATGCAGAAGTTGTATTAGGATAGAAACTCGGATTATCTAATTTGTTGTTGATTGAGGACCTTTGTTGTAATAAAATATTCTAAATTCTTATAATCTATAAAAACCTCGAACTCCTATTGCAAGCCCTGAAGTTCAGGTCGTTATTCTTCTATTGACTTGATTATTGCTAGAAGCTCTTTATTATAGATTTCATAATTATACTTTACTACTAAATACTTTGATGAAAAATAGACTACTGATTACAAAACATTCTTATTATCATATTAAGAAAGTACTCCCCCAGAGGCCCAATCCGAAGTATCAGTCTCTAAAACCATACATTTATTATAATCAAAATACACAAGGACAAATGTAATTGTAAAAGCCTGTTTTAATATTTCAAAAGTATCCTTATACATTTGATCCCATACCCAGAAGATATCTTTGTATAACAAGTTATTCAAAGGATAATAAATCTTCGAGAAGTCTTTTATGAATCGTTAATAGAAATTAGCAAATCCTAGAAAACGCTGTAGATCTTTTATTAAGAGGGATTGCTCCCAAGATATAATTGCTTTGACTTTATCGGTATCCATTTTGATATTATTTGTAATGATAATCAGGCCTAGATACCGTGTGGATGTTGTTTCGAATTCGCATTTACTAATATTGATCTATAAACCTGTATCAGCGAGTTTTTGGATAATTATTTGTATATGCTCCCTGTGTTCCGTTTTATTACTGGAATAAATAAGAATATTATCAAGATATACTATACAGTATTTATCGAGTTCATTGAAAAGCATATAGTTGATATAATACTGAAAAGATGCTGACGCATTGCATAACCCAAGGGCATAACAAGGAATTCAAACAACCCAAAACATATAATGAAAGCTGTTTTCCATTTATTTCCTTCTATAATACACAATTTGTTGAAAGCAGTGATAATATCCAGTTTGAAATAAACTTTAGTATTATATAATGTATTAAGAGTCTTTTGTATAATAGGTAAAGGGTAGTGGTTTTTTATTATAACATTATTTAATTTTCAATAATCTTAACAGATACGGATTCCGTCTTCTGGCTTTACTGCCAAAAGGAGTGATGCTGCACTACGAGATCTTGATTTCCGAATAAATCCTTTAGAGAGGTTGTCATCAATCCACTTCCGAATTACTTTGAGTTCTAATAATAATAATAACCGGTTTTTGAAATAAGGTGGTTCTTTGCCTAGCATTAGTTTGATTCTATAATCCCAAGCTTGTTGTGATGGTAGTACCTCAGCATTTCGAGAAAGGAAAGCTAATAATTTGTTTCGAAGCTAATTAGGGAGTATGTTTCGTATCTCTTTATCACTGAGGTCTGATTTTCCTGCTAAGAATTTTGATATATCAGCCTCAGAAATCCTTCATAGGTAAGCTGGTTTATAGCAATCTCGAATAAAGTTATGTAAGTATGATGGCATTGTAGAAAGTGCTTTTGTTAGATTATTACATTCTTGAAGTA